TGGGAAAGCAGTAAATATGGCCCAGGTCCTTGGGCCCCTGCGTCTGTGTGGGAGACCTGGAAGAAACTCCTGGCTCCTGGCTTCAGATCAACACAGCTACAGCTGGTGCATCCAATTGGGGAATGAACCATCAGATGGAAGACCTCTCTCTCTATATGCCTCTCCTCTCTCTGTGTAACACTGACTTTCAAATAAATAAATAAATCTTCAAAAAAAAAAAAAAGGGAAGGAAGGAAAGAAAGAAAAAATTAATTCAGATTGAGGCTGGCTGGCATTGTGGCCTAGAGGGTTAAACCACCACCTGTGAGGTTGGCATCCTATATGGGTGCCAGTTCCAGACCCAACTGCTACTCTTGCAATCCAGCTCCCTCCTAATGCACTAGGAAAGGCAGCAGTTGATGATCCAAATCCTTGGGCCCCTACCATCCACATGGGAGACCTGGATGAAGTTCTTGGCTCTTGGCTTCGGTCTGGCTCAGCTCCACCTATTGCAGCCATCTGAGGAGTGAACCAGTGGATGGAAGATCTCCCCCACCCACCATAACTCTGCCTTTCAAATAAAATAAGTAAAGGGGGCCAGCGCTGCGGTGTAGTGGGCTAAGCCTCCACCTGTGGCACCAGCATCTCACATAGGTGCCATTTACTGTCCCAGCTGCTCTATTTCCATTCTAGCTCTCTGCTATGGCCTGGGAAAGCAGTAGAAGAGGCTTGGGTTCCTGCACTGTATGAGAGGCCCAGAAGAAGCTCCTGGCTCCTGGCTTTGGATCAGCCCAGCTCTGGCTGTTGTGGCCATTTGAGGAGTGAACCAGTACATGGAAGATTTCTCTGTCTCTCCCTCTCTCTGTAATTCTACCTCTCAAATAAATATTAAAATAATAATAATAAATACATAAATATTTTAAAAGAATTCAGGGTGAGATGGAGTTATTGGCAGGTCAAGAGACCCCCTTTCTCCTTTGACTGGTGTTTGGCAGTTTGTGCTTGGTGAGCATACAGGCTATAGCAGAGCTTTCATTCCTGGTAAACTAAGTACTTAGTAAAGTGCTTAGAGCACATCTTAAATAAATGGGGTTATGGTTCCTAGCTAGTCATCAACAGCATGGCCAGGTAACTCTCCCAAGACTAGGAAAATGCACGGAGCAAGCTTCTGATTTCAAACTGTTTTGTGTCAGAAAACAAGAGATTAAAATATCAAAGAGATATAAAAGCCAAGAGGAGGCCTCCCCTGGCCTCACAATCTAATTCATACCCAGAACTTAACCAAGGAGCTTTGAAGAAGGAAAGGAAATTCCTCTTGTTCATCTTCCATGTGATGCCCATCCCCCTTCTGGCTTAATCCCCCATAAGGCTCTGCAGAAGAGTAACGGGGATACCAATCCAGTCTCCAGTTCCCTGCCCAAATGATGTTCTTCCTGCTGACTGGGAAGCACAAGGGGAGGTACTTCGGGAGACTTCTGATTTTGAAAGCTCTCTGGCAATCCGGAATCCCAAACTTGAGAGGCAGTGAAAGGAGGAGGAATATGTAAATCAGACCCATTTTCTGGCCCCAGCCCTTTCACTTAGTGGCCACATAACTTCCGGATGCATGGAGTGGATTGAGCACACAACATGGCCCCGGGCATCTAAGAAGCAGATTTCTGGCAAGTTTTGGTCATTTTTATTCATCTAAAAGTAAATAATATCAGGGGGATTTCAGTGTGAAAATGAGGCTGAGAATGAAGGCAGACAGTAGGACTAAAGCGAGATTGGACAGGAGTGACAAGAGCTGGTAAGGATAAAAGTGGAAGCTGAAAGCAGGCTTTGGAGCTGACTGTGCTGTGCTGATGACACATCTTAGTGTCTGTTCTGCTTCCCATCCTAGAAACTCCATTCAGTCGAACAGGTACAAAGAGTAATGCCAGTAAAGCAGAACTTTGTAGGGGCAGTAGCCTCTGTTAACAAACAAAACGAGACCATACGTGGAGGGCCTTTTGGTTAGCACACCACCCGGGGCACCCACATCCCATGTCAAGAGTGTTTGGGTTTGAGTCCCAACTCTACTTCTGATTCCAGCTTCCTGCTAATGTGCACCCTGGGGATCAGCAGGTGGTGGTTTAAGTGCTTGGGTCTCAGGTGGGAGATGTAGGTCAAGTTTTCAGCTCCTGGCTTTGGCCTGGCTTAACCCTGGCTGTTGTGGGCATCTGGGGAATAAATCAGTAGATGGAAGATCTGTCTGTCTCTTTTATCTCTGTGCCTCACTGCATTTGAAAAAAATAAATATACAAATTAACAAGAAAAATGACACACCGAGAACTACTTACAGGTGTCATAAACAAACTGAAATACAAACACACAACTGAGAAAAGTTTTCTAAAAAAAACCCACACAACTGTTCGTTACTTTGATTGGGACAGAGAGAAGTGGATCAGCTCCCTGTGGCCGCTGTAAAAAATCACCACAAACTTGGCGGCTCGAAACACCATAAACGCATTCTTTCATAGTTTTTGATGGCTATAAGATCAACATCAGTGTCACAGGCTGAACCCCAGGCGTTGGTGGAGCCATGTGCCTTCCAGAAGTTCTAGGCGAGCATTTTCTTCTGTCTTCCAGCTTCTGGTGGTGGCCAACATTCCTTCACCTGTGTCCACGTCACTCTGATCTCCTCCTCGACAACCACACCACTTCTCCTGATGTGTGTAAATTAAATCTCTCTTTCTCTTAGGAAAACACACGTGATTGGGTTTTAGTACCCACCAGCTATTCTCCCAGATCCTTGATTTAATCATGCCAGCAAACACTGTTTTTCCTTATAAAACAACATTACAGTTTCCTAATAATTGTGATAATAATAGTGGCCTACAACAAGAAACTTGAGCCAGTTTAGGGAGCATACCCAATTGAGATAATTGACTCCCATGTATATTTTATTTTTTAAAATATTTATTTATTTATTTGAAAGTCAAAGTTACCCAGAGAGAGAAGAGGCAGAGAGAGAGAGAGAGAGAGAGAGAGAGAGAGAGAGAGGTCTCTGCAACGGCTGGAGCTGTGCCGATCCAAAGCCAGGAGCCAGGAGCTTCTTCAGGGTCTCCCATGCGGGTGCAGGGACCCGAGGACTTGGGCCATCTTCTACTGCTTTCCCAGGCCACAGCAGAGAGCTGGACTGGAAGTGCAGCAGCCGGGTCTCAAACTGGTGCCCATATGGTGTGCAGGCACTTCAGGCCAGGGATTTATTTATTTTTTTTTTTTATACAGAGTTAGACAGTGAGAGAGAGAGAGAGAAAGGTCTTCCTTCCGTTGGTTCACCCCCAAATGGCCACCACGGCCAGTGCACTATGCCAATCTGAAGCCAGGAGCCAGGTGCTTCTCCTGGTCTCCCATGCAGGTGCAGGGCCCAGGGACCTGGGCCATCCTCCACTGCACTCCCGGGCCACAGCAGAGAGTTGGCCTGGAAGAGGGGCAACTGGGACAGAATCCAGCACCCCGACCATGACTAGAACCCGGTGTGCCGGCGCCGCAGATGGAGGATTAGCCTGGTGAGCTGTGGCACCAGCCCAGGCCAGGAATTTAACCTGCTGCACCACAGCGCCGGTCTCCCATGTATTTATTTTTACCATTAATTGTTTTTTAAGAATATTTTATTGATCACTTCTCAGCCTTTTGGCTAAGATCAAGTGAAGAATATTTTAGTGAAAACACTTTTTTTTTAATTTGAGAGGGAGACAGAGAAATAAAGCTCCCATTTGCTGGTTCACTCTCCAAATGCCTGTGATGGCTGGGGCTGGGCCATGCCCCAAACTGGGACATAGAAACTCAATCCAACATGGGTGGCAGAAACCCACAAGCCATCACAGCTGCTTCCCCAGGCTTCCATTTGAAGAAGGTTGGAGTCAGGAGCCAAGTACCTCCTGATGTGGGGTGTGGACGTTCTAAATGGCATCTTCATCACTAGGCCAAATGCTGCCCCAATTTTTTAAAATGTTTGATGAACACATAATAATTGCACACATTTATGGAATTTAGTGTGATATTTCAATACAGGTATACAATGTGTCCTGATCGAATCAAGGTAATGAACATTTTCAGCTCATTATTTCTTTATTTTTGGAGTCATCAAGCTTTTGTCTCCTGGTTCTTGATAAAATATATAATATGTTACTGTGAACTAGTCACCCCACTAACTTTTTCTATTATAAAAACAACAGTCAGTGTTGACCTTTTTTAAAAATACAACACAGTTAAACAAAGGAAAGGAAAATAAATGAACAATCACCTACAATGCTCCCACCCTGGGAGAGCCAGCTGCTTATCTCTGAGCATTTTTCTAGGCTGGGACTTACGTTAAAGACTGCAAAAACTGCAGAGTGAAAGAGTAGACAAAAGAAAAAAATGGAATAGAACGAGCAACTTGGAATGCAATGAAATGAATTCCTATTGCTCAGACTGGGCCCAGGACAGGTCTCATTAAAAATTAATGTAGAGCTGGCGCCGCGGCTCACTAGGCTAATCCTCCGCCTGCGGCGCCGGCACACCGGGTTCTAGTCCCAGTCGGGGTGCCGGATTCTGTCCCGGTTGCCCCTCTTCCAGGCCAGCTCTCTGCTGTGGCCCGGGAGTGCAGTGGAGGATGGCCCAAGTGCTTGGGCCCTGCACCCCATGGGAGACCAAGAGAAGCTCCTGCCTTCGGATCAGGGTGGTGCGCTGGCCGCAGCAGCCATTGGAGAGTGAACCAATGGCAAAGGAAGACCTTTGTCTCTCTCTCTTACTGTCCACTCTGCCTGTCAAAAAAAAAAAAAAATTAATGTAGAGCTTTGCAAACAAAATTAACCAGGAAGTGACTGTTGCATGGACCTGATGCTCATTCTCCCAGACATAGTAAGTGTGACTCTGGCTGCTCACTAGAAAAGCTCTGAGCTTTCCCATTGCAACGACCTTACTCACTCCAGAGGTTGGACCCCGGCCTGCGCATCTGCCTTGTCATAGTCTCTCTGAGCCCTTATCAGCCTTCCTCAGGAGGTGAATGTTATGAAGACTGGGGGACTGGCAGAGTTCCTGCTTCACCCAAGCTGATATCAAAGGGCAACAGGGCTGTCCTAGAAGGGCCCACACTCAGACCAAAGCCAGATGCGGGACTGAAGCACCAGAGGAAATACAAGAGCATCAGGTAAAAAAAAAACTTTTTAAAAATCTCATTCATCTTATTTTAGGAGCAGCTTGTGTCTCAGAGAACGAAGGGCCTAGTTAGAGTAGCTAAAGGAGAAAGTTGTGAAGGAGATGAGTGAGGAGTTCTGAGAAGTGTGGTAAGAATATTCATGTGGAGATAGACTCTCAGGAAAAAAACTTTTATCAGAGTTATCAGCATCCAAGTAATACCATTGAGCATCAGGAGTGATGAGACTACAGGGTCTGTTAGTGCAACATCAATTAGGTTTGTTCCAGGGGTTTTGTTCATGGAAGTTATGGGGAGACAAACTGCAGCTGAGAGTAAGAAAGTCATTTCAACAGAGCTGTGGGAAATCAAAGGGACTCCACACTGGGAGAGATAAAGTGTTACCAGTCACTGGAGATGCTCAAACCGTTGGTGAACAGTAATTTGTTGGAAGTTAAGAATATTGTGGGAGGGATTTGGGAATTGGATAAATATCAGACTGGAAAATCTTTAAAGTCCCTTTCAACACTTCTGTGGTTCCATGATATAACTAAAATGTCATAAGAAATTTCTCTAAGGAGCCATAAAACACCACGTTTACACGCACCAGTCGGGGAGGCTGAGAAACGGGAACACCGTACCTTAGGGGGATTCTGATGTGCTTGCCGGTGCTGAGAAGGCAGCCTAGAGCCGCCAGTGTGCGTGCGAGAGTCCGTGCCCGGCTGGATGCCTGCACTCTCCCTCTCAGCACCGACAACGTCCGCAGCGCCCTGTGCCGTGCAGTCACGCAGAGATGGGCTCTCTTCCCCCAGAAGAATAATTTTGGTTGACTCAGTAACTTTTTGTTTGACAGCTAACTCTGAAGTGCTTCGGAGGCCAAATTTCAGGGTAGGGTGCTTATTCTCTGGTCTATGAAGCAAAGGGAAAGCTGACCACAGCTTCATGACTGTGCCTCAAGAACATCAGTTCTCATCCAAGTCTCGGAGGCCCCTGCAGTGCAGGGCAGAACTCTTAGAGGGGAGGAAAACTTCTGCTCCCACATTACCCCTATGTCGAGGGGCCTTCAATAGGTCACGGGAAAATGCATTTTATGGAAACACTATCTGGGGGCTTCAAAAAAAGTTTTGCACCCAAATAAATTTATTGTTCAATTCTTTTTTTCCCCCACAAACTTTTTGGAGTACTCTTGTGTGTGAAGACACATATTTTTAGAATTTAGAATGTGTGAAGAGCTAAAAACATTTCTGCATTAGGTATCAACTGGTTTTCTTTCAAGAGTAGAATAAAGCTTTTAATACCATTTTTGTTGATTTATAGCAAGATCTTTTGCAACACATATACTCAACACTCCTTGGTTCTCTGCTGCCTTCCCTTCTTTCCCTTTGAATTATAAACAGGAGCATCTTTGAATTCAACTTCTAATTCTGCATATTCTCTAATGACTTGCCTTGGCTCCTGTGCCAACCCACCCACTCCACATCTGGGCTCACTGTTGATGTTTTCTGATTTTAAATGGTCAATGGTTGAAATTTTCAGCAATCTTTTTTCCATGATAGCATTCAGTTTTATCTATGCCTTTTGCTGAAAAAGTAAAGGGTATTTGGCAATTTCCAATGTTAAAATGTATTTCTGATCACTAATAGTTCCCAATAAAACATTGACATCTCTGGAATTCAACAATATTTCTGTCCTGATTACTTTTATATATATATATATATAATTTTTTTTTGTCCTGATTACTTTTAGGAACCCACAGTGAGGCTGCTAAGATGGAGATTCCCAAGACTGGTGTGGAAACACTCTATCCTGAGTTTGTAGTAGAAGTGGGCAGAGTGACTTTTGGAGAAGAGAATAGGAAGAAAATGACCAACAGCTGTTTGAAAAGAACTGAGAATCTGAATATCATCAAGGCTACATGTGCACTGCTAAATTCTGGTGGGGGTGTGATCAAAGCTGAAATTCACGATAAAAACTACAATTACCAATGCCATGGGCTGGGGCATGATTTGGAAACTTCTTTTCAAAAGCTCCTTCCTTTCGGTTCACAGAAATACCTTGACTACATGCAGCAGGGGCACAAGCTCTTGATTTTTGTGAAGTCCTGGAACCCAGATGTTTCCAGCCTCCTCCCTCTAAGGATTTGCAGCTTGCGCTCCAATTTGTATCAGAGAGATGTGACTTCTGCCATCAACTTGAGTGCCAGTAGTGCCCTGGAGCTTCTGAGAGAGAAACAGCATGCAGCCCAAAGAGGAAGACGGAGGCTGCATCCTCCGAGGGCTCCCAACAGCAACCTTCAGGAAGAGGAAGATATGAAGATGCTTGCTTCAGAAGTTTTTAAAAAAGACAGGCTCATGTATAAGGAGAAGCTTAACTTTACTGAGTCAACACATGTTGAATTTAAAAGGTTCACCACCAAAAAGGTTGTTCCTCGGATTAAAGAAATGCTGCCTCATTATGTTTCCGCATTTGCCAACACCCAAGGAGGATACCTAATTATTGGGGTTGATGATAAGAGCAAAGAAGTGTTTGGGTGTAAGAAAGAAAAAGTGAATCCTGACTTATTAAAAAAAGAAATAGAAAACTGCATAGAAAAATTGCCTACATTCCACTTCTGCCATGAGAAGCCAAAGATTAACTTCATTACCAAAATCCTGAATGTGTACCAAAAAGATGTCCTGTATGGTTATGTCTGTGTGGTTCAGGTAGAGCCCTTCTGTTGTGCAGTGTTTGCAGAGGCCCCGGACTCCTGGGTCATGAGGGACAACGCTGCCACCAGGCTAACGGCTGAGGACTGGGTGCTCATGATGCTGGATATTCCATCAGGTAAAGTGGGACCAAGTCATTGCACAGTGGACAGAGCAACCCCCTCTCTGCAGTTCTGCTGTGTGTGGGTATTTGTGCATATCTTTTAAATTTTTATTTATTTAATTTCATTTTCTTTCTAAAGCAGAGTGTGTGTGTGGAGAGAGAGAGAGAGAGAAAGAGAGAGAGAGAGAGAGAGAATGAATCTTCCACCTGCTAGTTCACTCCCCGAATTTCCTCAATAGCCAAGGCTGGGCCAGGCTGAAGTCAGGAGTCAAGAACTCTATCTCCAGGTCTCCCACGAGGGTGGCAGGGACCCAAGCACTTGAGTCCTTTCCCAGAATATTGTGCATATAATTTAGTTATAAACATAAATATGTTTTTGTTTACAAATGCTTTCTTATTATTTAGTTCTTTTTCTAAAATTTTTAGTTCCATTGACTAAGAATCTTAACTCTTAAAGTGTAGAAGTGCTTGGATTTCAGTCTGTTTTGGGAAAGTTACAATATGGCATCAGCCATGAAGTAGTGAAATTTTCCTCTTATGCCTGTAAAGACCTCTTGAAAAAAAATTTGCAGGCTGATATTCTCAGTCTAAATAGGAATACTTTAACTCTAAAGAAGATACGTGAAAAAACATGATTTAAAAATAACTCTCCAGGGGCCAGCATTGTGGTGCAGTGGGTTAAGCTACCACATATCACCCACATACCATAATGGAGTGCCAGTTGGAGACCTGGCTTCTCCACTTCCACTCAAGCTTCCTGCTGATGTGCCTGGGAAGGTAGTAGATGATGGCCCAAGTACATGGGTTCCTGCCACCCACATGGGAGACCACGATGGAGCTCTTGGCTCCTGGATCCTGGCTATGACCAGACCTGGCTATTGCAGCCATTTGGGAGTGAAGCAGCGGACAGAGGACCTTTCTCTGTCTCTTCTCTGTCGCTCTGTCTCACTCTATCACCCTGCCTTTCAAGCAAATGAACACATAAACCTTTTTTAAAAAAACAAATTCTTCACCAATTCTTTCAAGGGAAACCTTTTCGATAAATATGAATTGTTTCAGTAACATTAGAAGCGGACACCTTAAACCACCGGTCTTGTGGCAACACCAAGTGGGGAAAAGTGAAGCAAAAGGAGATAATGCTAGTCTCTCTCTGTGTCTCTCTCCTTCTCTTTAACTCTGACTTTCAAATAAATAAGTAAATCTTTAAGAAATAATAAATAAGAAAGGCGCTAGCTGCTAGGGCAGGGAAAGGGTGGGTGGGAGGATGCCTAGTGTTCTCCCTTCTCCCACGGTGTTGCCCAGAATCAGCCTGGGTGATTCCTAATCAATCCATATAGGACTTACAGGCTGAACTAAGCTTATCAGTTTGCCTTCATGATCAATATGGTACAAAATTGATACAAGAAGCTTAGATCAAGGCTTGAGCAGTTACAGAATTTTTTTGGTTTATTCTTTCTCTTATCTTAAATTTGTTTGAATTTCTCCCCCAACCTCATCCTGCCTCGTCAAACTAGAGATCCTACAGCTTTTTTTTTTTTTCAATAGCTTCTGCATTTTTTAGAATTGGCTAAGAAGGTAGGCTCCTTGTTTCAGTTTATTTTTTTAAAGATTTATTTATTTATTGGAAGGGCAGAGTTGCAGAGAGGCAAAGGCAGAGAGAGAGGGAGAGAGAGGTCTCCCATCCACTGGTTCACTCCCTAGATGGCTGCAATGGCTGGAGCTGCACCAATCCAAAGACAGGAGCCAGAAGCTTCTTCTGGGTCTCCCACGTGGGTGCAGGGGCCCAAGGACTTGGGCCATCTTCTACTGCTTTCCCAGGCCATAGCAGAGAGCTGGATCGGAAGGGGAACAGCCGGGTCTCAAACTGGAGCCCATATGAGATGCTGGCATCTCAGGCTGCAGCCTTACCTGCTACGCCACAGTGGTGGCCCCAATCCTACTGCTTTTGATTCTAACCTTGGATGGGGACTTAAAAAAACTATAACATTTATTTCTGTTTAAGATTATTTTTATTTGAAAGTCATATTTAGAGAGAGAGAGAGAGCTTCCACCCACTGGTTAACTCCCCAAGTGGCCGCAAGAGCCAGGACTGAGCCAGGCTGAAGCCAGGAGCCAAGAGCTTCATTCAGGTCTCCCACCTGGGTGGCAGAAGCCCAAACACTTGGGCCATCTTCTGCTGCTTTTCTCAGGTGCATTAGCAGGGAGCTGGCTAGGAAGTAGTACAGTTGTGACACAAACCAGTGCCCATATGAGATGCCAGCATCGCAGGTGGCAGCTTTACCCACTATACCACAGCACTGGCCCCATAAAAATATTATGCTTGGGGCAAGTGTTTGGCTTAGGAGTTGGGATGCTCTCAACACATATTGAGGCGCCTGGTTTCTGTTCCTAGCCCTTACTCCTGATTCCAGCTTCTTGCTAATACAGACCATGGAAGGCAGTAGATGATGGCCTGAATGGTTGGGTCCCTGCCACCATGTGGGAGACCTGGGCTGAATTCCAGGCTCCTGTCTTCAGCTAGGCCTTGTCCTGGCCTTTACAAGCATTTGGAGAGTAGCGGTACAGATGGGAGCTCTATCTGCCACTCAAATACATTTCTTTTAAGAATTTATTTATTTGTTTGAGAGGCAGAGTTACAGTAAGAGAGAGAGAGAGAGAGAGAGAGAGAGAGAGAGAGAGAGGTCTTCCATCCACTGGTTTATTCCCCAACTGGCCAGAGCTGTGCCGATCTGAAGCCAGGAGCCAGGAGCCTCCTCTGGTCTCCCACGCAGAAGCAGGGGCCCAAGCACTTGGGCCATCTTCCCAGGCCACAGCAGAGACTGGATCGGAAGTGAAGCAGCCGGGACTGGAACCAGTGCCCTTATGGGATGCCAGTGCCGCAGGCGGAGGATTAACCTACTGCGCCATAGCGCCGGCCTCTCAAATACATTTTGAAAAAGAATATTATGCTATGCCTTTGCTGACCCCTACTAGAAGCCCTTTCTTCTTAGAGATGACCTGGAATCATACTATTTGAGATGGGAGGAGCCTTAGGGAGCATCATCTCCCCCTTTCCTTGGGAGGGGACATGGTGCAGTGAGTTAGAATATGCATGAGCCCTGCAGGAATTCCCTGACAGGTAAACTGAGGCACAGTAGATGTGACATCAGCTAGGCACTATCTACATCATACATCTCCAGCAGGAAGGGCGATGAAAGAATTATTTCCACTGTTTATTTATTTCTTTTGTCTGAAACTACTTTCTATGTAATTGTTTAGCTCCTTGCAATTTGGTCACAGACTCCAATGCTCACCTGAAGTCGCCAGCTTCGTCTGCTTTCAGGAGCCCAGTGTGTCCCACAAAAGTCCTGGAGTTTAAGGGTGCTTTGCAGCGACATTTGTTTCCAGGTATTCCCTCTTGATTGCAGCTGAAGAAACTATTCGTTTTCCAAAATTAAATTGAGAGGAATTGGTAGCAATTAGTCCGTCTCCTTACATCAGAAAGTCAAAGGTGGGATTTAATCAGACGTAGCAGTCCTGAAATAATACGTACGTCTGGCTCTTGTTTCCCCATCATCAAATCCCACTGTACTTCACGTGCTTTGGGGCTTCCACTCACATGTGGCTCTTAGTCTCCAAATATGGGGGTGCTGGGAATTCCTTAGGTCTCCAGCACAAGAGAACTGTCCGCTGGCTTTCATTGCAGTAGGAGCCATGGGGTGACCTGGACTCCTTCTCGATCAGTTAAGGGTTAGTTAAGGGTTCCTTAACCTCACGACTAGTGGCATTTTGGCAGATCACTTTCTGTTGGGACGAGAGTGCCCTGTGAGTTAGAGGATGCTTAGTGGCATTCCTGACCTTTATCTGCTCAATGCCAGCAGCACCTCTCAAGTTGTGTCAATTGCCAAATGTCCAGGGAGTCGGAGAGGGGAACACAATTGTTAAGAATCATTATTCTAAAGGAAATCTCTTAGTTTCCCAAAAGCATCAGGGTTCACCAAACGTCTGTAACAGGCAGGAGTGCCTTCCAGTACTAATGGGCCACCCGGGTTGAGGGAGGATGCTGTGGGGGCGGTTCTGTGAAGACCCCTCCCTGACAACTTTCCCCTGTGCTGGAACGCCTTCTAGCCACAGGTCTGGGGTGTGATGAGGAGTCTCTCTTTGCAGACCAGGAAGCCTGTAGTTCATGGATGGGATCAGCTCTCCCCCCAATGTTGCAGGACTCCTCACCATACACATTCAGTTTTGGTAACTTAATCGTATTCCTTGAATTTCCAGTGACACAGAAAACGATACAATTTAAGCCAGAATCCTTCTGTAAGAAGCTCTTCTCAGATCACAAAGGACTGGAGGACCTTATGAAGACACAGACGTATCCTTACTCTCAGGGGATCGTGGTATTTTCCAGGAGCTGGGCTGGTGATGTTGGCTTGAGGAAAGAGGACAGAGTCCTGTGCGATGCTCTCCTAATAGCACTTCATAGCCCCCTGGTACTCTACACAGTCCTAATAGACCCCAGCTGGGCTGGCGGTCGTGAATATGCCTGGAACGTGGCTCTTCATTTAAAGCGGAAACTGCAAAGTGTTGGCGGCTACCCAGGGAAAGTGGGTATCATCCCAAGGCTGATTCAGCTGGCCAGCACGTGGTGTGGACCTGGGGATGGCTCTGTGCACTACCCCCAGTCCTACCAGCTTGCTACTGAGGATGACATGGAAGACTTGTTGCAGGCCCTTGTGGTGGTCTCGCTGTGTTCTAGATCTCTCTTGAGCCACCAGCTGGGCTGTGAATTTTTCAACCTGCTTATAGCTGAGCAGTGTGAGGTGCTTTCCCAGAGCCTTCAGGAGACCCGAGAATTGTTCATCCACTGCTTTCCAGGAACCAGGAAGACTGCACTAGCCATAAAGACCTTGGAGAAAATTAGAGACTTGTTCCACTGCAAACCAAAAGAGATCCTGTATGTTTGCGAAAGTGACTTCCTAAGGGATTTTGTAATGTAAGAGTTCTACCAACTAATGTGTATTTGGTCTTTTTCTACAGTGTCACAAGAGTAATTTCTGTTTTTATTTTGAGATTTTACAAATGCCTTAGCTTCATAAATGCAAAAGCCCAAACTATATACATGTTTCCAAGTGATCAAGGAGTTGGCAAATGGATACTCCACAAATTAAATTTAGAAATAGGCCGGCGCCGCGGCTCACTAGGCTAGCCCTCTGCCTTGAGGCGCCGGCACACCGGGTTCTAGTCCCGGTCAGGGCGCCGGATTCTGTCCCAGTTGCCCCTCTTCCAGGCCAGCTCTCTGCTGTGGCCAGGGAGTGCAGGGGAGGATGGCCCAAGTGCTTGGGCCCTGTACCCACATGGGAGACCAGGAGAAGCACCTGGCTCCTGCCATTGGATCAGCGCGGTGCGCCCACCGCAGCGCACCAGCTGTGGCGGCCATTGGAGGGTGAACCAACGGCAAAGGAAGACCTTTCTCTCTGTCTCTCTCTCTCTCACTGTCCACTCTGCCTGTCAAAAAACAAACAAACAAACAAACAAAAACAAAAAAACAAAAAACCCAACTTAGAAATAAACCAAGCAGACAAAACTTTCAATTTGTAGAACAAGAAACAATTTTTCCCACAATCAGTAGCCTTAAATGTAAGAAAAGCAGAAATAAGTGAACCCATTATGCTTTAAATGTATTTTTACTTAATACTTGATGTTTTAAAATCAGACTATTTCAGCTAACTAGACACAGTAGTTAGCAGGAACTTTAAATACACTTTGATTTTGTTTTTAAAATATTTTCATTGTTTGACTTGTTCTGCATCAATAATTTTAGAAAACATGCCAGTCTAATTCTGGTTTAAATCTCTAGTTTTCAATTTAGTAAAATTAATAGGTTGCTATACACTTTGGCAAATTCATTTTGACTTTGTTGGTCTGTTTATTTATCCAGCAGCTCTTTTTCAGCATCGTTTATATATATACTAGATACTGTGTGGAGTGTTGGGGGAGAACATACTAAAAAAATAAAAATGTGAATGTTGTGTAAATAGTTTAATAATAGAGATATGTTTATCTTAAACGAGGCTGCATGGCGGTCAACCAAATATTCCCTGGTGAAGGAGACCCCCCGGCACACCCTTAAGTCACCAGAAGTGAATAAAACAGGAAGAGTTTTTAGGCAAAGGGCGCAGCAAGTTCAAAGGTACAGAGCCAGGGGCCGGCTCAGTGGCACAGCAGGTTAATCCTCTGCCTGCGGCACTGGCATCCCAAATAGGTATCGGTTCTAGTCCCGGCTGTCCCTCTTCCAATCCAGCTCTCTGCTATGGCCTGGGAAAGCAGTAGAAGATGGCCCACGTCCTTGGGCCCCTGCACCTGCATGGGAGACCAGGAGGAAGCACCTGGCTCCTGGCCATCTGGGGAGTGAACCAATGGAAGGAAGACCTTTCTGTCTCTCCCTCTCACTGTCTGTAACTCTACCTTTCAAATAAATAAATAAAATCTTGAAAAAAAAAAAAGGTACAGAGCTAGAATTGTAGATGTGAGTAGAGAAGTGAGGGAGTGCCAGCATATGGAAGGTGGTGATGTCAAAAAGGTGGCAGATGCCAGATGATGAAGGATCCTATCAGTCATGTTAAGGACTGTGTTCTTTAGTAAGCTTTACAGGTAAGCTAAAAATAATCAAAAGGCTAATTAATAATAAATTAGTCAAAAGGCTAATTCAACAAGTACCTATTGAACCCCTAAGGGGAGAGTGATAGACTTAGTGCCCGTAAGAGTATCCATGCATTCCAAACTAGAAGGGAAGAATATAAATAGTAAAACCCAGGAACTGTGAGTAGGAAATCAGAGAATCTATGGGAATGAGTGATACTACTTGGATCAAAATTAGAGAAGGGCAAGAAACAATCAGATTTGCTACAATACACTATAAGGAAAAACTGAGCTGAAAGAGGCAGAGCCCCATACATTTGTTACCCTACCTGACATGTCTTGGAACTCAGTAATCTTTTGATGTTCCCCTTACTAAAACCTAAAGAAGTTTCTGGTTTTGCACCACAAGTATGTGGAAAAATAGGATTTATGTTAGAGGCACCTTCCTCTTTCACATGCAAAAGTTACAATATGCCACTAGCTGATTGCTCTCCAGTTCTAAAAAGGACAGAAAGGAAAGAAACGGTAATAACAAATCTAAGTTACACTTGAGATTTCCTTCAAAAAGCTTGTCTTCAAGGATTGTCAAGCAGCTGAAATGGACTAGTGATAGAAAAAAAAATAAAAAAACAAAGTCTCCTACCTGGGTTCACGTAGAAAGTGTCACATGCAGATTTAACAACATAACCCCAAAGAGTACGGTGTAAAGTCACGCATTCTGTCTGTCAGGTAACCTAGAAGTGGGGCAACGTTTTTGGTATTCACACCAGAGAATCGATGACTCAGCTGCAGAAGAGAATTGGCCCCTCAGTCTAATGCAGACAGTAATAAGTGCTGGTGTTCTCTGTGCATATACGCCTGAATCATCTAATGCAGACAGTAATAAGTGCTGGTGCTCTCTGTGTATATACACCTGAAACTGTTCTCTCTTTCACCCTTACAGCCACCAGACCGCCTGCCTGGCTGTGACCCGGAAAACCTTCATGCAAGGGGAGTTTCCAAAGATTAAGCACATAGTGATGGACGAGACTGAGAATTTCTGCAGTAAATATGGAGATTGGTACTCGAAGGCCAGGAGCATCACCCATCCAAGAGTGAGAGGGGCTGGAAATGAAGACCTTCACCATGGGATTCTCTGGATTTTTCTGGACCCTTTCCAAGTCCGTCACTCGGATGTCAATGGCCTCCCTCCTCCACCTGCTCAGTTTCCTCGGAAAACAATCACCAATGGGATCCACTGTGCTCAAGAAATAGCGAAGGTCATGAAAGGAGCAATGAAGAGGATCACAGAGAACCCTCCCTCCAACATGTCTCCACACACGTTGGCACTGTTCAGGGAAGCTGCCTGCGGGGAGGCACTGGGTGCACACGCTCTGCCCGGGGTGTGTGAGACAAAGGCGGACCTGACGGTAGAACAAATAGCGAATTACGTGGCGGAAAGATGTCACGGCTTGTTCCAGTGTGGCTATCTCCCCAAAGATGTAGCAATTCTGTGCAGGAGAGAGGAGGACAGAGCACGCTATAAGCTTGCGCTGCTAAGAGCGATGGAATTAACTGAGACCCACAGTGCAACCGAGGTGGTGTTCAGCCAGGCTGCTGGTGTTCAGGGCAAACACATCATTTTAGATAGGCGTGCACCAGTTTTCAGGCCTACATAGGAACATTGTGTTTGGACTTAGTCCAGAGCAACGCCTGTCAGAGGAATTCCACCAGCTCTGCTTTGCCTCAAAAGCCATTAAACACCTCTATCTGCTTTATGAAAGGGGGCAGGTTTCTGAAAATTATTATAAATAATACAGGAGGCCAGAAAGCACAGAGCCCCTTCTCCCAGACAAGCAGCAACTACTCCTTTTTACTATTGCAAGTAAGGAAATCAAAGCACATCCCTAATGCCTGGGGCCATAGAAATGTCTCTTGGGACTGACTCTATGGGGCTGCCTCCTGTTCTCCTAGAGCACTTCTCTATCCTGTACGATTACAACAGACTTATCATTGGTTCCTGGCCTCCAGTTTTCTCTAGTCCACTCGAGCTTTCAGCCTGTCAACCAGAGAGCTGGTTTTATGAAACCCCCTGCTAATGTACTATCAGTGAGTCTCCACAGCTTTCAAACCAAACCAACTTTCAAGGCTTCCTGTGGTACACCCTGACGTGCTCTCCTAACCACACCCTTTATCATTTCTCCATTTCCTACTGTTTCTATGCACCTCATTGGCCTACTTTACGAGTGGTCGTAGGGTACCCTTCAGGCTAGTTACTTTGTGTGTCTCAATGACACACCTTGGCTGGCACTTTGTAATTGGATGTTATGGGTCCAGAACTTGGTATCTTCTTTATACCAAGTATAGACCAGTCTCTTGGGGGCGATTTGATGTGAAGCAAGATCACAAAAGACCAGTGTGTGAATGAAAATGCCACCCTGCTAACGTACAGTGCGGACTGCAATAACAAGTGGGCTGGTGCTTTTGCTAGTCAGTGCATGAGCAGTCCCATAGGAAGCCAATTCTGTGAGCATACTCTTGCAGTAAGAACTGCTGGGACTCCAATTCAAATGCAAGGAGTCTTCAGGCTACATCGTCTGGGTCTTTAAGGGGCCTTTGCACATCTCTGATCTCCCCCCTATGAGCTGATGTTAATTTTATAATCAAACTCTCAGAGCTCACAGGAAGCCTGGATGGCAACTCGACCACCTACACTGCCAGTACACAATCCTGGTTCCTGGCCTCTGCCTGTGCCTTTTTCTCAGGCTTTAAGCCCTTTCCTGGGCTTTCTTCCACCTTTGAAATCCTTATTCCACCAATCAAGGCTTTGTTCAAATGCCCACCTCCTCAGTGAAGCCCCCACTGGTCCCCTAAATTAAACTCTCAGTCGCTCTTCTTGGGCCACTCTATAGTTTTAGAAAAATATCTTGATGCTCCAAACTCATTTCAAATTGTGCCAGAATTGTTCTGTTCTTTCAAAAATCTATGTAATAACTTATTATATCTGCTTTTGTTAGAAATGAAACCAAAGTTTCCTTTCTCTTAGCTCCCCAAAACAACTGAGCCAATCCTGTGCTCTCCAATACAATCTTTCATGATAACGATTTTTAAGTTTCTTGGGAAATACTCCCATTTCCAGACTGTTTTTAACTTTAGAAAAGTGCTTGATTCATGCCAAGGAACTTGAATCTGGGAGAGTGGAAACATTCTTTTGGTTGCAATTTCAGAAAAGCCCCTCAAGCAGGCTTGTAGGATCCTCCGAGCTGCCACTCTGAACTGCCTGAGCCTGCCAGAGGGGCCAGTCTGAACCTGGAGGCAGCTGTCCTAGACAGGGACTGGACAGAAAACCTTCCCCCTGCCTATGCCACTGCAGTTATTTAGCTTTTCCTCCTTTTTACCTTTCCTTGGGGGATTAAGGTGACTTTTGGGTAGGAAGAAGTAAAGTTCAGCAATTAATTAGTGTTTGATAAAGCAAAATATACCAGTGTATTAGCATTCTGACTTAGGGAGATGTGTGAGTTCTGCAAAATAAGTTAAAAGTAGACAAGGATAAGGGATATATGGGAGGGACAGGGAAATGCTACATTTTAGTCATAAGCCTATAAGCATGCATTATCTAATTTTGGACAAAGTAATTGATTTTTTAAAAGATTTATTTATTTATTTGAAAGTCAGAGTTACACAGAGAGAGGAGAGGCAGAGAGAGAGAGAGAGAGAGAAAGAGAGAGAGTCTTCCATCCGATGGTTCACTCCCCAATTGGCCGCAATGGCCAGAGCTGTGCCAATCCAAAGCCAGGAGCCAGGAGCCAGGAACTTCTTCCAGGTCTCCCATGTGGGTGCAGGGGCCCAAGCACTTGGGCCATCTTCCACTGCTTTCTCAGGCCATAGCAGAGAGCTGGATCAGAAGTGGAGCAGCAGGGACTAGAACCGGCGCCCATATGGGATGCTGGTGCTTTAGGCCAGGGCATTAACCAGCTGTGCCACAGTGCTGGCCTTAGTAAATAATTATTAAATAATTATTTTAAATACTGAATTTGGAACCATCTTTGTCAGTTCTTGATCTGATTAAACCGTTCAACCAGGATAAAGTTTAGAAGACCCATGTCTAGATCTTACCCCTGGCTACTAACTAGAATTACCTCCCAGTGACTAGGGGGAGCTGTCGTGGCACAGCAAGGTTAAGCTGCCATTTGGAATACCCACCTCCCACATCTGGGTGTCTGAAATGTAGTCCCGCCTCTGCTTCTGATCTGACTTCTTGCTAATGTGTACTCTGGGAGGCAGCAGGTGATGGCTCAAATTTTGGGTCTCTGCCACCCATGTTGGAGACCTGAAGGGAGATCTGGACTCTTTGCTTCAACCTGGCCAAGCCTTGGCATCTGAGGAGTGGATCAACAACAAGAACAGCTTCAGGTCAGATAAGAGACCATGAGACCAACTAAATTAGCGTCTCTGCGCTAAAGTTTAGGCATCAGTGTTGCCCAGACGATTCTAATGTGCCGCTAGGGTGGAGAACCATTGAATCCTTGGCCTACCATATATGTACTTCCTGTCCTCAAGTAGATGTGTACATACTTCTGTTTCCTGTAGACTGTGAGCTCCTTAAGGACGGGCACTTACACATCTTGATTTCCCTCCAAGCACCTAGTGCAGTGCCTTGCGCATAACAAGTACTCAGTAACTATTTGTTGGATGGACTTGATGCTTTCATAAAATTAGAATCTGCGAGGGAAAAGGCTTCCATTCAGTGAGTGAATATCTACTTTTAGAGATTTCGAAGAGGTCAGTGTGGAGAATCATCTTCAACACTGTAATAGTGAGGACTAAGAAGATGAAGGCAATTATATTGTTTTTAGACAATAGGCAAAGTTAAAGATCTATGACAATAGCTCATTAGATTTGAATTTGAGACTTGGAATTGGTGGAGACTAAGAATAACAAAGCTGGTTGTACTTAGAATTCTAAATTTTTCTACAAAACCTTACTATTATGGATAACACAACTGGTTTGATGAAATAACTAAGATACAAGAGTTGTTAGCCAAAAAGGGGGAATGCTAGTAAAATGGTGTCATCTTATCTGTGGGGTGATCTATGTCCTGGACACCATCCTAGGCTCTAGTCCTGGTGGCCATTGCTGGAACCCAGGGGACCAGAGGGCCCAACAACAGGTGTCAGCTCCACCCCCACCCTAATGGGATTCGATGCTCCTGCTTCTCTGACCCTGGCAAAGGTTTAACAGGACCTGTTTCCAGCACACTCTCTGATCTCCAGAGTGCTCTCTCCTGATCTTTCCCTTACTCTCTTGCCCTCTCCCCGACACCCCGACCCCCACCCCCACCGGTCAGGCTTCCCCTATCTGACAATAAATCTTTCCCTTAACTCCAGTGTCCCAGTGTGTTTTGTGGCGACCTTACACTGTTACTTTTTTTTTTTTTTTTTTTTTTTTTTTTTTTGACAGGCAGAGTGGACAGTGAGAGAGAGAGACAGAGAGAAAGGTCTTCCTTTGCCATTGGTTCACCCTCCAATGGCCGCTGCAGCTGACGCGCTGCGGCCGGCGCACCACACTGATCCAATGGCAGGAGCCAGGTACTTATCCTGGTCTCCCATTGGGTGCAGGGCCCAAGCACTTGGGCCATCCTCCACTGCACTCCCTGGCCACAGCAGAGAGCTGGCTTGGAAGAGGGGCAACTGGGACAGAATCCGGCACCCCGACTGGGACTAGAACCCGGTGTGCTGGAGCTGCAAGGTGGAGGATTAGCCTAGTGAGCCGCGGCGCCGGCCAACACTGTTTTTTTGTATAAAAACTTCTTCACCCTCTACTCTGTGTCCTGCTTCTCCTTTGGAGTGTGGCAAAATCCTCCATTTGGCCTACATTCCAGAGTCATTCTGTACTGGTTTGTATTTTTTTTTTTTCCTAACTGTTCTCATAAACAGACTGCCCTGAACTGTATTAACATAAAATTTATTTCTGAATAAACTCAGAGGGTTAGATGCGGAAAGATCACGGTTTTTTAATCCCTTCAATCTGGTTCTGCCAGGCCACAGCTGAGGAAGTGTCTGTATTCCTTTACCTACAGAGACATCTCCTGGTGATTGGCTAAGGCCAATTCAGGCTCCTTGTCGCTTCAGAACTAGGATGGATCATCCTCTTGATGGAGCTAGTCCTAAATATATTACCACATTTTGTTACTTTTCTTCTCCTTGCACACCTCTGAAGACAATCTCATCATTAAACCAATCATTTAAACTTAAAAAAAAAAAAAGAAAAAAGTTGTTTGCTGTGATAGCTTCTCAAACTTCCTCTTAAAAAAGAAGGTAAAGGCAGCAGGTTAAGTCACCTTTGAGATGTCTGCATCTCACACTTGGAGTTCTTGCTTTCAGTCCTGACTACTCTGGCTTCCAATCCAATTTCCAGCTAATGCACACCCTAGGAGGCAGCAGATGATGGTTCAAGTACTTGAGCCCACAAAACCCATGTGGGAGACGAGGACTGAGCTCCAGTCTCTCAACTTTGGCTTGGCCCATCCCTGGCTGTTGAGGGCATCTGGAGAGTGAACCAGCAGCTGGAAGATCTCTTTCCATCTATCTCTCTGCCTGGCTCCTGGCTTTGGATTGGCGCAGCACGCTGGCCACAACGCACCAGCCATAGTGGCTACTTGGGGGGTGAACCAACGGAAAAAGGAAGACCCTTCTCTCTGTCTCTCTCTCTCACTGTCCACTCTGCCTGTCCAAAAAAAAAAAAAAAATCTTCCAATTTAAACAAGTACAGAGTGTGTAATAACTGTATGCCACGTGATCTGTTAACATCTTACTACAGGGGCCATGGTTGTGGAGCAGCAGGTTAGGCTGCCACTTGCAACACTGCCGTCCAGTCCTGGATTTTCTGCTTCCAAACCAGCTTTCTGCCAATGAGCCTGGGAAATTAGTGGGTGATGGCTCAAGTTATTGTGTTCCTGCCACCCATGTGGGAGACCTGGATGGAGTTCCAGTCTCCTGGCTTCTACCTGGCCCAGCCCCCAAAATTGTGGCCATTTAGGGAGTAAACCAACAAATGGAAGATCTCTCTCTCTTTTTTTTTTAAGATTTATTTATTGGCCGGCGCCGCGGCTCACTAGGCTAATCCTCCGCCTAGCGGCGCCGGCACACCGGGTTCTAGTCCCGGTCAGGGCACCGGATTCTGTCCCGGTTGCCCCTCTTCCAGGCCAGCTCTCTGCTGTGGCCAGGGAGTGCAGTGGAGGATGGCCCAGGTGCTTGGGCCCTGCACCCCATGGGAGACCAGGAAAAGCACCTGGATCCTGGCTCCTGCCATCGGATCAGCGCGGTGCGCCGGCCGCAGCGCGCTGGCCGCGGCGGCCATTGGAGGGTGAACCAACGGCAAAGGAAGACCTTTCTCTCTGTCTCTCTCTCTCACTGTCCACTCTGCCTGTAAAAAAAAAAAAAAAAAAAAAGATTTATTTATTTTTGTTTGAAAGGCAGAGGCAGAGAGAAAGAGAGAGAGAGAGAGAGGTTCCATCTACTGGTTCAATCCCCAGATGCTGCAATGGCCAGAGCTGTGCCAATCTGAAGCCAGGAGCCAGGAGCTTCTTCTGGGGCCCAAGCACTTGTGTCATCTTCTACTGTTTTCCCAGGCCATAGCAGAGAGCTGGATCGGAAGTGGAACAGCCAGGACTCGAACCGGCATCCATTTGGGTTGCCGGCACTGCAGGCAGTAGCTTTACCTGCTATGCCACAGCGATGGCCCCAAAGATCTCTTTCTCCCCCATCGTCCTTCTGCCTTTCAAATAAATACATACATAAATATATATATATAAAAAAAGATTTTGCGGGGCTGGTGTTGTGGCTTAGCAGGTTAAGCCTCTACCTGCAATGCTGGCATCCCATATGGGCACTGGGTCAAGTCCTAGCTGCTCCACTTCCGATCCAGACCCCTGCTAATGTATCTGGAAAAGCAGCAGAAGATGGCTCAAGTGCTTGGGCCCCTTCACCCATGTGGGAGACCTGGAAGTAGCTCCATGCTCCTGGCTTCAGATCGGCACAGCTCTGGCCATTGTGGCCATTTGGGGAGTGAATCAGCAGATGAAAGCACTCTCTCTCTCCTTTCTTCTATACCCCCTCCCCCCCACCTCCACTCTGTCTTTGTAACTTTGGCTTAAAAAAAAAAAAGAAAAACTTTCAAAAAAAGTTTTGCTACAACTGGCTACTATGTGCTCAACACTCCATTATCTCCAGCATTGTCCCATTTATAGATGATAAAACTGACACAAGAGAATATAAGTTCTCAAGGTCACATATCCAGGAAGTAGCCATGGGTTAAACATAACACTTAAATAGAGTCCTTGATCCAGTAACTCCAACTCTGAGAATTCATAAATGCTTTGAAAAAGCTCTGCAGAGGCTCTTGGAGGAGCCAGAGTAAACAAGCAGAAGCAAGTCTGCCACCATCGGGTTCCTCTGTCAAACTCTCATCAGAGAAAAACAGCTCACTAATTTATATTGGCACCTGTCAGTCCGCACAGAGCCTCTGATCACTCTGGAATGATCTGGATTCCTTGATAAACAAAGCTCAGCACCAGACCTTGGTGGTATTCCTGACCTGTCCAAGGCCAGGCTGTCCCGACATGAACTGCTTGATCCCCTCTAAGGCTGCTGCATTCCAGCTTCCCACTGCAACCGTGCAGTGATTTAGTAGAAGTGTGTTCCCAGCCTGCCTTCCTTTAAAACCTCCTACAAATGCATGTGTGAGGAGCCGGCGCTGTGGTTGTAGCAGGTAAGGCCGCTGCCTGCGCTGCTGGCATCCCATATGGACACCAGTTCGAGTTCCGAATGCTCCAGCTCTCTGCTGTGACCTGGGAAAGCAGTGGAAGATGGCCCAAGTCCTTGGACCCCTGCACCCATGTGGGAAACCTGGAAGAAGCTCCAGATCCTGGCTTCAGATTGGCACAGTTCCAGCCACTGCAGCTAACTGGGGAGTGAACCAGCAGATGGAAGACCCTCTCTTGGCCTCTCCTTCTCTCTGTGTGTAACACAGACTTTCAAATAAATAAATCTTAAAAAAGAAAAGCATGTATTATATCAGAGAGATCTTGCGGTTGCCAAAAGAAATGGGCATTTGGAAACCCAGGGACAGTGTTTTCCCTCTGAACCTACCCTATCCAAGGGCAAGCAAGGACCTTCAACTGCATCACTCAGTACCCTCAGCTGACAGAAGGCAAACATGATTTTGAAATAACCGGGATTCTCAATTGTGTTCCTTTTTTCTCAGCCCAGCAAATGATGATAAATGAAGAATTAAGACAGGGTCAGGGCCAGCGCTATGGTACAGTAGGTTAATCCTCCGCCTGCAGCGCTGGCATCCCATGTGGGCACTGGTTCTAGTCCCAGCTGCTCCTCTTCCAATCCAGCTCTTTGCTGTGGCCTGAGAAAGCAGAAGATGGCCCAAGTCCTTGGGGCCCTGCACCCACATGGGAAACTGGGAAGAAGCTCCTGGCTCCTGGCTTTGGATTGGCGCAGCTCTAGCCTTTGTGGCCATTTGGGAAGTGAACCAACGGACAGATGATCTTTCTCTCTGTTTCTCCCTCTCACTGTCTGTAACTCTACCTCTCAAATAAATAAATAAATAAATAACACTTTAAAAAAAAGGTTCATCATGTACTTTCTCTTATTATAATTTACTACATGGGTGGCAGGGACCCAAGTACTTGGGCCATCTCTGCTGGTTTCCCAGGCACATTAATAGAGAGTGGGTCTGAATCAGGAATAGCTAGGACTCAAACCGGCACTCCAACATAGCCCTCTGTGCCTCAGCTGAATTATTACATCAGATTTATCGCAGGCTGGCTGCTGTTAGAGTCCTTCCCCATTTTAATCAGGGAATGCTCTCTTCTTTGCCTAGCTGTATAGTTGGGAAGAAGCACGTGGCCAAGAGGGAGAAACTGATGGGGGCAGGTGCCCCTTCTTCACCAGCCAGACAGGACAAATATATCCCACC